ATATATATATATATATATATATATATATATATATATATATATATACACATGTAGACAGATAGACGGACAACAGACAGATGGATAGAATGGGCTGTTGATCACTTTACAATATAAGGCTAGGGATGCCAGCTTAGTGACAAAATTTTCTTTTCTTTATACTTTGGGGAGGAGGGCAGATTAATATACTTAGGAACAAAGGTCTGGGTTATAACTGTTCATATTTTTTTAATTAAAAAACACCTTTTTGAACCAGAGATATGCTTGGAATTATGGAGACTAGTGTTTTATTTTGCAGCATGCGTGATTCCTGTTTTTTAAATTAATATGTAAAAAGTCAGATAGACGAGTCAGGCAACTTGGAGGATAACAAGGAAAGTAAATACAGGGATATGGACACACACATATGAACACACATGCACAATTTCTTACAGATATGGGGACAAAATTTGTGATGGTCGGGCATTACTTTTTCTTTTGAAATCTGAAAATATGAAGTTTCTATGTATGTCATTTACTTTGGAACAAAATTGATGTTTGTGGACAAGGATGAATTTTCTTCACTTTTATATATTTACTCTGTGGGGAAAGTATGAACTTCTTTTCTGAACTTCTGTTTTCTTACAATGTTTTGTTTGGAACATCTTGAACAGCCATTATGGTCTCTTACCTCTATTCTCTTACTCAAATGTTCCAGCAATCAACTTTTTCTTAATATTTTATTTCATCAACCTGAAGTGTAATATAGTACAACTCATCACAATTCATGTTTAAACACCTATATTTTAAGGACATGAAAATGCAGGGGATGATTTTGGAGCATATGAATTTATTGACTATCCAGTTCCTGCAGGAATCCCACAGGTAAGTGTTTGTATAATGAAATAGACATATTTGAAGAATCAGTACTGTCTGTAAAACAGGATTATAAAATAATTTAGATTTCCCAAACTAGAATTCTTATAAATGTTTTGAAAGCTTAAATTTATTTTCGACTTGTATATTCTTTCCCCTGCAAGATCACAGGAGTTAAAGCGTTCTCAAACTTGTGATGGTGTTGAAAGTGTACTACTTATGACTGGTCTTTAAAAGTTCCAACTGTTGCAGCATTCTCATGTTACATGATTGCAATCCAAATGCTCAGCAATCTGCCCAGATTTCTGACTGTCACAGTTCCAGCTGGTGAAATGATTGTGATTTTCAACCTTCCCTGTCAGTTTCCAACAAGCAGAGTCAATATGGAACCAGCAGGAAATTGGAAACTGTGGTCATGTGAGGTCTTTGCTTAATTTTGGTATCTAGGGACTGCTGGAACTGTCATCACTAGTGGGGTGATCATATGACATTATACTTTATAATTGCAGTTTTTAGCAATGGAAATTCCATTTCCAATTACCATTGTTAAATGAGGACTATCTGTAATTTCTATGTTTCCCAATTTATCTTTATATCAACAAACTTATGTATTTTAGGCTGGAAAAGGGACTGACCTAAACATCTCATTGAGATTCATGGAGTTTAAGAAATAGTCTCCTCTGCCCTGATCCATCACTTTTACCACTTTCCAAAAGTGATGGCTTTCCATCACTTTTACCACTTTCCACATTACTTTATTTATTTTGTGGATGTTTGTATAGCTTTAATATTTTTTTAATTGTTTTATCATTTTATTATTGTAAGCTACCCAGAATTATTTGATTAAATTGGGCAACTCTAGACATCGGATGGATGGATAGATGGGTGGGCTTCTTCTGTGATCTTGCTTATTTATTTAAATAAAATTGTAATCTGCTTCTTTCAGACACCAAGACGGCATGTTACTGGCTCTAATGTTACTAACCTTGATGCTGGCCAAAGTCAGAATATTAATGTTACAGTTTATGATGTTGTTCAACATGTTCCTGAACAAAATGAAGAATAACAAAAGTAAATTCATAGTGCTAATATGTTAAGAAAAGTATTTGTTTTGGCCCTACAGATCTTCCAATAGTGATATCTTATCTTTTTTTTTTAAATCAAATCCATCAACCTTGTTGTTGATAGTCCTCATCTCTTGCATTCACCTTTTCCTATATGAAAGACATAATAATATTTTTTAAATATCATAAGGACTGCCACAAAGTGAATGCTTATTCTCTGTTAACATAGGAGAATGATTAAATGTAGTGGGTTTAAGTAATAAGAGGATAGTGTTCAGCTGAATAATTTATAACGACAACATTGTCTGAGAGTATTGCTAATTACGTAGAACTAGG